TTTATTACATATATTTCATTGAATCATCTATCCAACCAGTACCTTTAAAATTTTGTATATATATATTTGTTGCCACATTCTATTTTTTCTTTTCTATAACTTTTTTCTCTAATTTTGAAAATTTCTTCTTCTCGATTATTTATTGAATTTTTTTAGGTGTTGTAGTTTTATAGCTCTTATTTTTTGTAATTTTTTTTACCTATTGTTATTATTTTTGTTCTCAAAACTGTTTTTTTTTATGTTTATTGATTTAGTTATCTTTGTTAGTTCAAAGATGAAGATTAAATCATACAAAAAAATAAAATATGAAGACACTTACTATATTTTAATATATTTAAATTTTATTATTAAATTATGATTTAATATTTTTAATTTAATACTGTTAAATTAAATTAATTAGTTTATATATATTTATGTTGTTTAATGAATTTCTTTAGTTTTATTGTTATTATTTGTTATTCTTCAGTTAAACATATTATTTTCAATTTAAAGCTCATAAATTGTTTTTTACCATTTTATATTTTTATGATCTTAGATACCTCTTTTGTTTAAATCCTCGCATAACGATAATTTTGAAATTTATAAATTTATTATTTTTATATTTTGTATTAAATTTATTTCATTGAATCCATCTTTCTATCCAGTATCTTTATAATTTTGTATATTCATTTGTTACCATATATGTTTTTTCTTTTTTTTATCATTTTTCTTTATAATTTTGATATTCTATTATTCTTTTTATCATTTTTCTTTTTTATAGTTCAAAATAGTTTTGTAGCTCTTGTTTTTTGTTCTTCAGTTGCTTGAAAATATTTTTAACTATTTTTTTATTTTTGGTCTCAAAACATTTTTTCCTTTTTTTATTGGTTGAATTATCTTTTTTAATTCAAAGATGATGATTAAATCACAAGAAAAATATAATGAGAAGACAATCACTATACTTTTATAAATTTAAATTTCATTTATTTTAAGTTTATGTTTTAATTTTTTAATACATTTAACTATAAATTAAATAATTTATATATATTTATGTTATTTAATGAATTTACTTTAAATTTAATTAATTTTTTTAGTAAATGCTGAGATGTAAAAATAAATAGAAATGAACTAATAAGGAAGAGATAATATGTCAACCCCTGGAGAGCCCACTTCATCTATATATATTAGATTTTTTTTAGTAACTTTATTTTTTAAAGATTAAAAATTGATTACTAAATTTTAATAAATATTATTTTTTGATTAATTTATTTTAAATTTTCCAACTTTCATTTAACATATGTGGCGATCAGATGAATTAACAAATTTGAAAATTTTTTTTTATTTTAAACAGAAATATACTTTTCCATTTTCATAATTTTTTTGAGCTTTTATTTTATCAGATTGTTATCTATTGTTTACTTTCCCTATTTTAGTTTTTCCTTTTTTATTATTTTAAATTATTATTATTTTTTTTTGTCGACTACCCATCTACTAAGCCATGTTTTGATCAGTAGGATGATAATTCCGGAAAGTCATAACCATTATGTATTTCCTTTTTTTTTAATCTTTGAGGATAACTATCATAAATTTTACTTTTATTGTTAATAATATGTGTTAAAACATAATTAGAATTTTACAAGTGTCAAAATATAATTAAAAACCATTAAACATGTTTCAAGATTTGATCAATTAACTTGACACGTGTCAAGATCTGATCGATTGACTTTACACGTGTCACAATCTAGTGAGTTAGCAACTTTGAATCATTCTCTTTTATATAAAAAAAATCATTAAAAATACGTGTCAAGATCTGATCGATTGACTTGACATGTGTCATAATCTGGTGAATTTTTTTGGCTTTTATTCTTTTAGATTTGTTAGTTGTCTTATTTTAGTTTTTTCTATTTTTTATTTTAGTTTATTTAATTTCAACATAACTATTATTTTTATTTTTTGTTTTACCTTTGCGGATTAGGAATTGGTCAAAAAATTTATTTTTATTGTTAATAATATGTGCTTAAATATACTTAGAATTTTACATATATCACAATTTACTAAAAAAACATTAAACATGTGTCAAAATCTGATCAATTGATCTGACACGTATCACAGTCTGGTGATTTAGCAACTTTGAATCGTTCTTTTGTATAATATGAAAACCCAATAAACACATGTCAAGATTTGATCGATTGATTTGACACATGTCACAATCTGGTGAGTTAGCAATTTTAAATCATTTTCTTTTATATAATAAGACTAATGGCTAAGCCGCAGTTCGCGCAGAATTTTATGTGTTGTTTTTTTTGATGAAATGTGATATTCATTGATCCAGTAAGAAATATGTACAAAGAGTGTTTTTAAAAGATCCTCAATGCAAAAAAAGAACAAAATGCAACTCAAAATGCACAAGAACCAGAGCATGTTTTCCAAAACAGGGCATTAGCGAGATACTCTAAACCACATTTGAAGTAGTTCTTGTAGATGTGGCCTGGTCCAATAGTCCAGTGATGAAATTCTGTTCCTGACCATCTTGTCTATGTGTCGAACCAGTTGATGAGTATCATTGTACCCCGTGAGATGAATCCTAGAATTCCTCTCCCTCCATTTGCAATAGATGGTAATCTGAAATACCAATCGAACAAGTATTAGACGTAGACGATCCCCTTCATAGTTTACTATGAATTGAAGCGTTTCAGTCCAGTCCGGGTTCTCTCGATGTCTCAGGAGTCTGCCTGCAATGTCTGACCAAATTGTGAATGAATAAGGGCATGCGTAGAACAGATGGTTGTATGTCTCATTCAATTCCCCACATAGTACACAAGGTTGGGTCGCTCCCCAAAGCTGCATGCGATCTCCCGTCGACAATCTAATATAGATTTCTTGCCAAGTGATAAACCTGCATCTAGGAATCCCCTGCGTGAACCAGACTGTTTTCCACCATGGTAGTACTGGTCTGATTTCTCGAATCAGATTCCATGTTGAGAATGAGGAGAAAAAGTTCTTATACTCATCAGGTTTGTGTTTCCATAGAAATTGATCATCTCCATTCGTGTTCCTTGGTAGTGGATGTGCTCTTATTTGCTCGTATACATGATTCAAATCTCGCAGACGTGTTTGACGCAGTTTCCATCCGTGACGATCCACAGCATCAGAGACAGAAGCATTGATCGAAATACCACGAATCCTTGGGCCTTACATCCAAAAGTCTTCCCATTGGTAACCAGAGATCATACCAAAATGAGACCGATATACCATTATGCACTTCTGCTCGAATAAAATTTGCTACCAGTGAAAGAAGTTTCAATAACTTCCTCTATATCCAAGATCCAAGCGTGGTGTCTGGAGCTGACAAGAAAGATGCATTGCGCATCAGATTTTGCTTGGTCCAAGCAACCCAAAGAGATACCGACATAGTGAATATATGCCATATTAAATTCAGAGCAAAAACTCGAAATACATCTCTTAGCCGACTCTGCCTTTGGTTTACAGACCCCATCCTAAGCAATCTTTGCACCTGTGGAGGTATTAGGATTACCAGACCATAAAAAAGCTCCACACTTCCTTTCAAGTTTGATATACTCGTGATGACCGATGAAATTAGTTGGAGACGGTCTGCGTAGGATAATTGCTTGCTCGTCCAAAATAGCATTCTGGATCTGATTTTGTCAATTAGAGGCGCATAATCATGAGCCGTCATCGTTTAGTGGTAAGCGGAAGTCCCAAATAGCGGATCGGTAAGGTCTCAATTGGTTTGCCTAATTCAGCTGCCGTCAAAGCTAAACCCTGTATTATCCGACCACCTGTGAATAAAGCAGACTTAGTTGCATTAATGTGAAGGCTAGAGATACGAGCTAAACTCTGTATTACCCGACCACATGTGAATAAAGCAGATTTAGTGGCATTAAAGCAAATTTTATGTATTGTTTGACATAGTTAAAACAAAACTTATATATATATATATATATTCATTAAATATTTTATTTTAATTAAAAAAAGAAAATTTTCATATTTTAGTGTTTAGTGATTTTGTATCCAGTTGATGTAATTATATAGTTATAATATTTAGAAAACAATTATATACAATATCAATCAAATTTTAAAATCAGATTTGATTTGTAAAATATCTTAATATATATGTTGAATAATAATTTTCGACCATTACCACATCCAATCATGGAGAGTTGGTTCAAAGTCAAGTCTTTTTCACAAACAAACATCATACAATTAGTCATTTAATCTTTCTGGAGTATTTCGATTCTATAGTATTCTGTATGTTATACTATATAAGTCTATATGTAAACGCCTCCTCAACCTTAAAGCTCAGACTCTGATTAATAATTATTATAGGTGCTAAGAGCTGGATCGTAACCTTCGTAACCTATCTAGCGTTTAGTGTTTTCTCGAACACTTCTCGAACAGTATTGTTTTATGAAAATTGTTCCAAGTTGGGTGAACCGAGATTTTATTTTCCAAACTCTAGTATGGAAACATTTATGATAAGTTAAAAAAAGAAAAAAAAAAATTCAAACATCCAAATCCAGTGGGCAGAGGAAAAAAATCTCCAAAATTCTGCATTCCATTGTAAGTTATTGTTTTTATTTTGTGTCATCTAGTGCAATAATCCAAAACATAAAACGAGAGAGCGAGAGGTAGTGAGGAAAGTCCCGAGGATTCGGCGTTTTAGTCGTGTGGCCTTTGTTGCAAAAACAAGCTGTGTGGCTCTCCCCAATTTATCTCCTTATCTCTCCCCTACCCTTTTCCACCTCATATCTTCAATACTATCTTCTATTACAATCTCCCTCCCTAACTTCTTAGAACCTTTTGTTTTGTCCCCGAATTTTGTGAAAGTCAACTCCCTCCCCACTCCACTATCCATTAGCAAGGAAAAAATTACAAAAAAATTAGAAAGAAGAAGGGGCAAAATTGCAAAAGTATCACAAATGCATTGTGAGCCATACGTAACCGCAAAGATTTTTCATCTTGCTCTTATCCGCCACGCGTCTAAAGATTCCAATAAGGGAAGCTACGTGATTGGGATAAGCTAAATAACAAAATAAAATACTAACAATTACAAACATGGAATATCAAAAAAAAGAGAAAAGGATATATTAAAGAGCTCTGAGAAGAAAAGGCCCTCAGGAGCTTACGCCCTATTCAGAGGTTAGCTTCTCTCTCCTTTCTGGTTTTGCTAAGTCACTACTTCGTATTCTCCGCTTTGTAACTCTTTTTTACATATATAGTCTTATAACTCTTTGAACCGATCACACATGTTTGTTGGTTTACACCTATTTAATAAGATCATCGTTGAAGTATTTGTTGTGTATGTATATACGCTTGTGTTATTGCTTTACTGGAGTTGATAGTAGGAATAATATATACATATCAGTATATCACATCATGCTCATATAATCAAATGTTTTAGTTATATCCTATTTTTGCGATTGTGTATATTTTAGAGAGTTCGTCGTAAACATTTTGTAGTGTGGAGAAAGAGGAGAAAGAAGAAAAGGGGAAAATGGACTATATGAATGGACCAGGTAGACACCATCTGTTTGTACCAGGACCAGTGAACATACCGGAACAGGTAATCCGTGCGATGAACCGAAACAACGAGGATTACCGGTCACCGGCCATCCCGGCACTTACGAAAACGTTGTTGGAGGACGTGAAGAAGATATTCAAGACAACATCTGGGACACCATTTATGTTTCCCACGACCGGAACTGGTGCTTGGGAGAGTGCCTTGACCAACACGCTATCTCCTGGAGACAGGATCGTCTCGTTTCTGATCGGACAGTTTAGCTTGCTGTGGATTGACCAGCAGAAGAGGCTAAATTTCAATGTTGACGTGGTTGAGAGTGAATGGGGGCAAGGTGCTAATCTCCAAGTCTTGGCCTCAAAGCTCTCACAAGACCAGAATCATTCCATCAAAGCCATTTGCATTGTCCACAATGAGACCGCGACTGGTGTCACCAATGACATCTCTGCTGTCCGAACCCTCCTCGGTCAGTAATTCCACACAACCATCTGTTTTTCTTTTCTGATTGCTCTGTTATTAATTTCACTTACACACATATAAACACATCTTCACATCTTCACACAGATCACTACAAGCACCCGGCTTTGCTGCTAGTGGACGGCGTCTCGTCCATATGTGCGCTTGATTTCCGAATGGATGAGTGGGGAGTGGACGTGGCCTTGACTGGCTCTCAGAAAGCGTTATCTCTTCCAACAGGGCTTGGCATTGTGTGCGCAAGCCCAAAAGCTTTGGAAGCTACCAAAACTTCAAAATCCCTCAAAGTTTTCTTTGATTGGAATGACTACCTCAAGTTTTACAAGCTTGGGACATATTGGCCATACACACCTTCCATCCAACTCCTATACGGTCTTAGAGCTGCTCTTGATCTGATATTTGAGGAAGGACTTGATAATGTCATTGCTCGTCATGCTCGTTTGGGAAAGGCCACCAGGTAATTAACTTTAACTTTGTAACTACAAATTCGAGTGCTTTTGATCCATAATCTCTTCGGACTGGGGGTGTTCAGAATGTATTTAAATGAAATATAGTTAGTCTTCTTCCCATGCCAATATTCGAATAAGTGATCTTTTGAAATACCAATTCAAAACCAATTGGCAGCAAGTTGGAAAGACTTATTTATGTTATAATTTTTGTTGAACAATCTTTAATTCTGATGTGACGTTATTCTAAGTCTCTTAGTATACCAACTCAGCTACCGGCTAGAAACATTAACTAGATTTTGGTTTGATGTACGCAGGCTGGCGGTGGAAGCGTGGGGGCTTAAAAACTGCACACAGAAGGAGGAGTGGATAAGTAACACAGTGACAGCAGTCGTGGTGCCTCCGAATATAGACAGTACGGAGATTGTGAAAAGGGCATGGAAGAGATACAACCTAAGTCTTGGTCTTGGTCTCAACAAAGTGGCTGGAAAGGTTTTCAGAATTGGTCACCTTGGAAACCTTAATGAGGTACGTTTCTGTATTTGTAATCCAACTATTTAATTAATTAAATTTTAATCAACATTACAACATAAAACGCAGTTGCAACTTCTTGGGTGTTTGGCTGGAGTGGAGATGATACTAAAGGATGTTGGGTACCCAGTTGTTTTGGGAAGTGGAGTTGCAGCTGCTTCTACTTATCTTCAGCACCACATTCCTCTCATTCCCTCTAGGATCTAAATCACATCCCCATTTCTCTGTTCTCTCTCTCTCTCTCTCTTTCTCTCTCAATGTAAAATCACTCTACTATTTTCTCTTTTCTCCAATTATATTTTACTACATTATCTATGTTTTTATGTGCTATTCTCAACAAACTCATTAAACAAAAGGTCAAAATTATTTATTTCTCTCACACATTAGTTTTTCTCACCAAGAATCACTTTTATTGGTACAATGGATGTTATTACAATGGTAGTGGATATGAAATCGAGTCAGAAACTATGTCTGGGAAGAGGATTTTTGTCTAGTTAGAAAGAAATGTGTGATCTCTCAACCGAAGATATGTACATATATGGTTTGAAACACTAGCTGGCAAATAGGATTAAATTTGGGGGTAAGTGTCTACCAAAAACCTCTGTTTAAGTATAAAATCAGAGGAGTTTGTTCAAACTGACGTGTATGAGTAGTAGGACAAGTATGATTTCTAAAGTGTTTGAGGCTTAAGTTGGAAGAAAGCTCTTAGTCGATATTCTGGAAAAATGTAGCATTATACCCAGATGGATACTGTTTTTTTTTTTTTGGGGGGGGGGGGTGGGGGAGGGGGAGAGGTTATTTTACTAGTAGCTAGAAGTCATTGTACCGAAGAATACACAAGAGAGATAACTAACAATAACCTACATTTTTCTGGTCTAAGACCATCTCTAGTGTTAACTTTGCTATCTGCATTTTTAGATACTGGATAATGCATATAGGTGTGTGGAATTAGAGAAGTTTGATGGGAAAAGGAAACTACATTCTTTGAAAAGGCAATATTCTAGCTTGCTTATAGATCTTGGGGTTACTAGAAGCTTTGAAAGACGAAGAAGTATTATCAAGTCACTAAGAACAAGTCTGAGAGATAGGAGAGAAAACTCAGTAAAAGAGAGGTTCAAATTGTGAAAGTCCATATACTTTCAGAGAAAACAGAAACACTATATCAAATTTTTGGTCTCAGTCTAGGTGATAAACTGAGTTTTACCAGTTTCTAACCTTTGTTTTTAATTAAGTAAAAGTTTCAATTTAGAATCTTTTTGGTCATTTATCAAATCTTTTCAGGGTTTAAGTCGTTTGGAGGATGAGCCGAAAATATGCATATGCAGATGTAGGATCGTACAGAGGCGACAACCTTTGGCATTTACTGAATGACTTCTCATGATGTATAAAACTCAAGTTTAAAGATAAAGCATTGGGTTAAATGTTATGTGGAAGTAGTTTCAAGTCGTTCCTATTGTGTGAACGAAAGTTATGTCAGTTTTTGTGAAAACAGTCTAGTCTGACGAAAAAAAAACCATGTACATGAAATTTCTAAGGATCAAAGGATTGACTGATCCATGCACAGGAAACACATAGAAATTTCTAGAAACTAACAGATCCACTCGTGCATCATCCTAATTTACCCAAATCTAAACCTAGACCTATTGAGACTACATTTTTTGAGACACTATTTGAGGCTAACCTTTATTATCTACAGGTCTATTTTCATATTGGGGAAAAGAATCTTGGACTATACTGGTGGTTTCCAAATTTTAGTTCGTAATCTACTCTACCCAAGTGCAAGGCAATGTTGTTGAGTATGATAGGATCGAACCATAAGGAAAGACTTTCAAAACTATTAAGAATACAAGCTACTTTATAAACTAAGCAAATCAAAAAACATTTCTTTGAGCTTTCTAAAAAACTACTTTAAGTTCAAGCTCAAATATAAAAAGCTACGATCAAGAAGGTAAACAACTTAAATCAAATCAAATTAAAATATATGGACAATAGACTAAGGTCAATGACTCGATATTATTAATAACTGGTTAATGATGCAAACTCATTCAAATCACCCCTAGAAGGCATAGATCACATGAACTAGATTAATCACTATGATAAATTAATCCATTTACTAATACTAGCCTAATAAATTTCTCAGTAGTTAGCTAGAGCTTTGCAATCTTTAAATTTAAGTCTATCTATCCAAAATAAATAAAAAGTCTATCTACCCATAAACCACCTTAAGCATGCAACCTTCACTGGATTAAGAGTGAACTGCATTATTAATTTATTAGAGTTGAACTAGATACTTCTAAAATACTTCTGATTAAAAATAAGATCAACTTCTAAAATACCATCAATTCAGTTATCTAAGATGAAGAAACCCCTCTCTCTCAGCAGCAAAAGGATGGCGATGATATACGATATCTAAATGAGGTTGATTTGGCGATGGAATCTAGTATCGGTTTGTATGGAGTTCCTTCTGGAAATTAAGGTGGAGGGTGACTCTACCGCGGATGAACCAGATTTAGTACGGGAATTCGGTTCGATCCCACAAAAGGATCTATGGGAAAGAAGTGATCTGCCTGGGAACTTCAGATCTGTGTATTTTCATTCTGATTTAATTAAGATACGGGGAATAATTTATTATGGTAGCTCATGGATGATTATGAGATTGCGATGGGTTTGGATTGACCAAATCAAACACAAAGGAAATTCGGATCTTCATAGTACGGGAAGAGTCTCTTGTTGGGGGAGTGGAGCTAGACGCTCTACATGGATTGATTCTGAAAGTAACATTACAGATACATCTCCCGATATAGTGAAGCAGAGAATAGTTTCGGGGAAGGAAAGTATAAGAACAGGATCAAGAGGAATTGATACGGAGAAGAGATCTAAGGAATCAGACTATACGAAAATGACATCGGGGAAATTAATAGATGAATCACAGATGAGATATCATGATTCTATCTGTAGAAAGACAAGTCGGAGGTTACCACATTATAAAGAGGAGCAGAGAGGCACAAATCTTACTCATCCCTCTCTCATTCATCGATTCCAAATTCTCTTTTTTCAAGCTTCTTCTCTTTCTTACAATGCGGTGGTTCTTATACAGTCTGAGCGGATGTCTCAAGGTTTGCTAATCGGGGCTAAAGGATCTCAAATCGGTCAGACTGGCATGGAGAAGAAGGTTGCAATTTCCCTGAAACGTATGAAGATCACGGTCCCGAAATTTGACAACTCTAGTCTCATTGAAGGATATTCACGTACCTTGATTGGGAGGTGTATGAATCCTCACCTTCAAGACATGAAGGCGCTGCTGTACATGCTTCCTCGGATTTGGAAAGTAGAGGACATAGTTGCAGGTGCAGATTTGGGAATGGGAAAATTCCAGTTCATGTTTGATAAAGAAGAAGATGTTCTCGAGGTGATGAAAATGGAACCTTTCCATTTTGATTACTGGATGCTATCTCTTGTTCGGTGGGCTCCGATTATTGATCCAAGTTACCCTTCGATGATCAAATTCTGGATCCGCATCATTGAAGTTCCTCTCCACTACTGGGCAGATGTTACTTTCCGAAGCATCAGAAAGGCTCTTGGTAAGGTTGAGGAGGTGAATGTAGATGACGTAAAAGTACAGGTGATCATCGATGGCTTGAAACCTCTGTATTTTGAAACAACGGTGGAGTTTGACGGTGGAGAGGAGACAACGGTTTTCTTGCGGTATGAGCGTCTATTTGGATTCTGTAGGATCTGTCACAGTCTTTGTCACGATCAGCTGAGGTGTCCTACTCGTGTGAGTAGCGATGGAAGGAGAACATGGGAAGATCAGCAGGATGAGGAACAAAATGGCAAGAGTCCAGCTTCGTATAGAACAGCAACAACACATGGTGTCAACAAGGAGCTAGGTGGAAACTTTAAACGGAATGGTAAATCACATACGGTGGTGGAGGATGGAAGACAACACAAAGAAAGAACGGAAAGGAGGTCTGGTGAGGGCTCGTCGAGGGTCTTAAGACCACATGGTTACATTCCTCCAAGGGAATTTCAGAAGAGGTCATCAAGATCAAAAAGTGTGGTCTTTGAATCACAAGGCAACAGGTCTTTGGATGTTCAGGTGCCAAAAGAAACACCTGGAGAGCAACATTTGGTGCAGGAAGACAAACAAGAGGAACATTTGGTTTCGGTGGAGCCACTTTGTGAAAAATCAGCAAGGAAGAGTCTGGATTTTGAGGGTGATGACTTTCTCGATTTTGACACTACGGAGAAAGAGCTCACTGGGGTTGCGGACGTACTGTTAAGAAAGGAGACGGAGGCACCGGTTTCAGAAACAGTAAACAAAGCACCAGAAGGAAAAACAGAGAATCACGATGCTATACAAGAGTTCTTACAACAGGTTAATAGCGGTTTGGAAACAGGGGAGCTCCAACTAAATTTGGATGCTGAGTTTGGAGGCATGGATCAGGAAGAGGCAGAGTTCATGGGAAACGCAAATGGGGCTTTACAGAGGGTACAAGATGGCTCAGAATAAGGGCACATCAGTGAAGGCGATATCCAAATGGCGGAGGTGAATGATGTTTTTGACGAAGGTTCCAAACAGGGTACAAAGAAGAAAGCCACGAAGATAAACTCAAAATATTTAGGCGGTGGCTCAAAGAAGAGAATGGTGCAAGCACTAATTTCCCCACGTAAGAAACAGGTGGCAAAAGTCATAAACCGTAACGGAGACGGTAGCTCTCAAGGCGCTCCAAAGGGTCCATCAAACCCGAGAGAGGGGCGGAAATTGGAAACAAGCATTAATAAATGAGAATTCTAAGCTGGAATTGCCAAGGACTTGGGAATCGCTGGACAATAAGCTATCTTCGGGAGGTTTGGAAGAAACACAGACCAGAGTTTATGTTTCTCTCAGAAACCAAACAAGATTTTTCTTTTTTACAAAAATTTCAGTTTCATTTTGGTTATAATAAATTGTACACGGTTGAGCCGTGCGGTGCAAGTGGTGGACTTGCCTTATTTTATAATGATTCTTTTGATGTCACAATTTTATTTTCAAATAATCGGATTATTGATATTGAAGCGAATATTCTCGGAAAAAAAAATGAACCTCTCGTTTATTTATGAGGATCCAGTGTCAAAAAATCGGGATAGAGTCTGGGAAAGATTAACACGTATGAGTCTCACACGGTCGGATCCTTGGTTCATTATTGGAGATCTAAACGAGATAACGGGTAATAATGAAAAACAAAGAGGCCCGTTAAGACATGCTTCTACCTTTGTGTCTTTTAATTTAATGATAAGGGACTGTGGCTTTTTAGAATTCCCATGTTTAGGAAATAAAATGTCTTGGAGGGGACGAAGAAATTCAAAAGTCGTTAGATGTCGTCTAGACCGGGCTTT